ATCAATCCCAAAGGAGTTTCTGTCCCCAACTCACCCCGAGATCAGAATTCATTTCCCTGAGACTGAAATCTTTCGGGATTTTTTTTCTGTTGCCAACACACAGAGATGCTGTTCCTTACAAGAACAGGATCAGGGATTCCAACCCTACAGGGGAACAGCTCCTGGAGCTTGAGTTAAAACTGGGATAATTCCACTTCAAACCAGCCCCAAAATGTCACCTGTGGTAAAGCTGTAGCAAAGTCTCCACATCTTTTTTATGGAGCAACTCCCACCCCGTTCCAGGCTGCTCCTTTATTCCAAGCAGGAAGAAACAGAGGATTTAACTCGGATTTTTAATTAAAAATCTTCAGCGTGGATAAACAGAACGGAATTTGCAGAAGTGCTGCTTGGAATTTTAATTGGAGGAATTAAATCCTTCCCGAATTTGGAGAGCCTCTTCCGGGGATGGCTTGGATTTGTGGTGTTGGAATTGGACAATATTCCTTATTTTTCCATGGCAGCAGAGCGAGCCCACGAGTGATAAATCAGGACAGGGGTGGACCCATCCTCCTTTTAGGGCAACAATTCCCAAAAGGATTCATTTTTCAGGCAGCTACTCCAAAAATGCAAGAATTGGAATCAAATGCAGGAAACCAAATGGTCCAGGAGGCCAAGGARCAGTGGGAATGTGCAGGAATGTCGCAGGGAAAGGATTACTGGGTTAACTCACACCTGGGAAAAAAGGGATTAAAAGTTCATGTTTGCATGGATTCCAAAAATCTGATTTGGGTTTCCATGGAAATTCCCCTTTTTTATTGGAGAAAAATGAGTGGGTGGCGTGGGAGAGCCTCATTCCTTTGATATTCCTGGAATGAAGGGACCTTTCCCCGGAGCTGGAAAAGGCTGGGCCCTCCCTGCAGCCACAGAGAGCCCCAGGCACGGGGCTGTCACTGCCAAAATGGAATTATTCCGTTTGTCCACTGTGCTGGGGATGAGATTCCCAAATTCTGGATGTTCCTGGAGTACAAAGTGTGGCTCCCTAAACAGCAGCTCTGGAATTTGGTGAAGAGAATCCCAACCTGGCAGAGCTGCAGCTGCTGCCCCAGGGCTCCGTGAGCACCAAATCCAGAGCTTTGGCACCTCGAATTTTAATAAAAAATAAAATTTAATTTTATCAAAAATAAAAYAGAACATAATTTTATCAAAAATTCATGTGGGTCTTCAATCCGGATTCGATCCCAGAAAGGTTTTCTGTAGGGAGAGGGTGCTCAGAGCCTGGAACCAGTTCCTGGAGAGCAGGCTTAAGGAACTCTTGGAACAATTCCCATAATAATAAATCTCAGTTCCTGGAGAGCAGGATTAAGGGACTCTTGGACAATTCCCTTAATAATAAATATCCTTTAAGGTCTGGTGAGATGGAATTGGTCAGGGAGTTGGATTGGGTGCTCAATGTGAAACCCTTTCGGCTGATTCTCTTCTGTCCTATTCCTATTCCTATTCCTATTCCTATTCCTATTCCTATTCCTATTCCTATTCCTATTCCTATTCCCTTTCCTATTCCCTTTCCTATTCCTATTCCTATTCCTATTCCTATTCCTATTCCTATTCCTATTCCTATTCCTATTCCTATTCCTATTCCTATCCTTATTCTTATTCCTATTCCTATTCCTATTCCTATTCCTAATCCTAATTCTAATCCTATTCTTATTCCTTTTCTGTCCGGTTCCTATTCCTGTTCCTGTCCTATTCCTATTCCATTCCTGTCCCTATTTCTTTCCTGTCCTATTCCTATTCCTATCCTTATTCTTATTCCTATTCTTATTCCTATTCCTATTCCTATTCCTATTCCTATTCCTGTCCTATTCCCGTTCCTATTCCTATTCCCATTCCACCCCATCCCTTTATGGCAGCTGTGTGGGAAGCTAAACCCTTCCCAGAACAAACCCAAATCTTTCCTAATCGAGACCCAGAAGTTTTTAATGCCCTTTTAATGCCAACCCACCCACCTGGAGCACGGCGTGCCACAGTGTGGAATATCCCAMAGCGCCCCAAAATGATGGGAAATTCATTATTCTGGGAAATTCCAATCCAAGAAATTCCCATCTGAGAAATTCCCAGGACCAGGCTGGGTCGGGGAGGAATTTAAAGGAATTAAAACGAGAGGAATTTCAAACCAAATTAAAGCTGAGAGGRGAAATCACGATTCTCCATAAAAACCTGAGCCAGGGAACGCTCCAGAGGGACAAGGAAACATTAATCAGCACGGGAACAAACAGCATCAAATGGCCATTAATCAATTTAGCCTGGAAATTAAGAGTGGTTTTAATCACCGAAGGACAGCAGGATTTCAATGGAATTAGCAGAGCCAAAATAAATCATCTTTAAAATGTTCAGCACTCGTTTGAACGGGAACACTTCATGTGGAGATGTGGAAAGCAGGGAATGAGCTCTCCTGTTTTTATCAGCTTTGTTCTGATCTGAGCAGGAATTGGGAGCTTCTCCCAAAATTCCCTGAGAAAGTGGAAAATATGATTTTTTCTGGGAATGGCAACATTCCAACCAGAGCATTCAGGATAATCCCAGGATTTTCTCGAGGTCTGGTCCTGCTGGGAAGGTCCGTTTGTTTCTGCTCTGCTGGAATAATTCCAGTTGTTCCACTTCCAAATGCTGGAAGCTGGCTTGGAATGAAATATTTATTGGAATATTTAATTGAATATTTAATGGAATATTTAATAGCAGGTTCTGACAGGCCTTGAATAAAAATCTCTACAACTTGAGAGGGCGAAGGCAAATTCCAAGTGTTGCTTTGCTGTGGAAAGTGTTTTGTGGGGAAGGAAAACTTTGCTGAGGAAACCTGGGAATGTTTGTGAGCTGCTAATTCTGGATTTTCACAGCTGGAAGGAGCAAGAAATTATTTGAGGAATTGCCTTTTTCAGCTCCTCAATACCCCCAAGTGTTGAAAAGAATAAAACTGATAAAGTTTAATTCCGCAATTTTGTTTTTTTTCTGTACGTTTTGACTCCTGGCTGTGCTGAAGAATGAAATCTCCCAAATGGACACATTTCTTTGGCAAAAAGTTTTTAAATTTTACAACTTTTGCTAAAGAGCAGCAGTGGTTAAATTACACAAAGGGAATTTTCTCTTCTTGTCATTGAACACCCGAAAGGCTGAGGTGGGATGTAAAAAACAAAGGGATGGGAACAGGGAATTTTTATTTTTTCTTTTGAGAAAATACTGGTTTTTATTGAACTAAACAAATAAAAAATGCTGCTTTAGTTAACTGTCCATAATGACAAAGAAATAAGAAATGGTGCTTTATAAAGAATTAAAAAAAACTGATTTATTTAACTGCCCATAATTATTTATTCTTCTCCTCAGCCTGAGGTTCTYGAACAAATCCAGAACCTAAAGGAGCTGTGGATGGACAATAATTCCTTGCAAGTGCTACCTGGGGTATGGACATTTATTTTATGGGATTGTTGGGTGGTTTTGGGGTCCTGTTGGCCTGGTAGGGAAATCCTTCATGAGCATTTCCTTGGGTGGGGGTGCAGAGTCATTAATTAATTAAGTCATTAATTAATTAAGTCATTAATTAATTAATGTAAGCATTATGTGAATGTTCAACATGGAAAACAACCTGCCTGGTGGGAGGTGAAAATTGGGAATATCCATCGGATCCATGTCCAAATGGAGAAATAACACAACTGCATGTCCAGAAATGCAAATTTAACAAATTTGGAGCTCGYTAATTAACTCAGGATCTGAAAAGTACTCCGGATCCCAGATTTATGTGTCTGTCTCTAATTAAGCTCTCATTTGCAGCTCTGTCTGCTCAAGTAACTCTGTCTCACGTGCTATTAAGTCTATAGGGAAGCTAAAGCAGCTGGTGTACCTGGATGTGTCCAAAAACAGGATCGAGACSGTGGATTTGGACATCTCGGGCTGCGAGGGGCTGGAGGATCTGCTGCTYTCCTCCAACATGCTGCAGCAGCTGCCTGATTCCATAGGTGAGGAGATTATCTCTGTTTTATGTGGAATTTTATATGGGATTTTATATGTGATTTTTTTATTAATTTTATATGTGATTTTATGTGTGATTAGATATGTGATTTTTTAATTTAATTTTATACGTGATTTTATTTGTGGTTTTTTATTTCATTTTTATGTGATTTTTTATGTGATTTTTAATTTAATTTTATATGTGATTTTATATGTCATTTTATATGTAAGTTATTTTATATGTAATTTTATGTGTGATTTTATATGTGATTTTATATGTGATTTTATATGCAATTTTATATGTGATTTTATATGTGATTTTATATGCAATTTTATATGTGATTTTTGTATGTGATTTTTTATTTAATTTTATATGTAATTTTATATGTGGTTTTGCATGTGATTTTTTATTTAATTTTATACGTGATTTTATATGTGATTTTTTATTTAATTTTATACGTGATTTTTTATGTGATTTTTATTTAATTTTGTAAGTAATTTTATATGCGATTTTTTAATTTTATATATGATTTTATATGTGATTTTATATGTAATTTTATGTGTGATTTTATATATAATTATATATGTAATTTATGTGTCATTTTATATATAATTTTATATGTAATTTTGTATGTAATTTTATGTGTAAATTAATTTTTGTTATTATTATTATCATTATTTTTATTACTATTACTATTGCTATTGCTATTACTACTGTTATTAATTGCTACTAGTATTATTATTGCTATTATTATTATTGTTATTGTTATTATTATTATTATTATTGTTTGGAATGATGAGATTTTATAATCGTGGAACAAGGTCCACCATTAAATCCCAAAGGAGGCAGAAAATGCACTCTGGGCACTCCCATTTTGTAAAGTCGGAGCAAAATTCCCCATTTGGAAGGAGAGGATCCACCTTGGTTGACTTTTTTAAGGAAAAGAAGCCAAGAAGGACGGAATTAATTCAGTTTAAATGTAAAAATCAGTCTGAGAAGGACGATGGGAGCAGCAGGAAGCTCTGACAGGAATTTGCTGCTCATTCACAGCGGAAAAAGGAAATGAAATGGTTCAAATTATGAATTTTCTTTTCCTTTTGGCTGTTTTACATGGATTGAATTTCTGGATTAATCAGGATTATTCAGGATAATTGGGATTTCTGGGATTTGAGTGGCTGCAGGCACCTCCCTCTGCCCCTCTGGGTATTTCAATCCCAATCCCTTCCATTTTCCCTTTGAACATGGAATTGTAAAACCCCTGAATTTTAAATGAATTCCCTCAGATTCCTAATTCCTAATTAGGAATCCCTAATTCCTCAAATTCCTAATTCCTCGGATTGCTAATTAAYGCTGTTAATTATTGACACTCACTGGGTGCCTTCCACTCCTGTTTTCCATCT